TATTTTGCATATAAACATTCTAGAGATAGACCTCAGACATAGAGTTGGTGAAGACGGGGAAACAGGTAGACTTGGATGCACAGCATATGAAGCGAGCGGCCCGTGTTGATTTGTTTGGTTTCAAAGATTTCGGAGATGATTCTTAGGTATTACGATAATATTCATTCAAAGCGCTAACATTTTGATCTCATCACATTTCACATTCCCTCCGCCTTCTTTTGCCGCACCTAGTAGACGTAGCGGAAGTTGGGGTTCTCACGGTCCGTCAGATCCTCAAAGGCGTGTATGTTCTGGGCGTCGTTGGCCTCCTGGACGCCCGCGCTGGCGAGCTCGTCCTTCTTCTTGTTCTGGTGCTTGAGGTGCCAGCGGAAGAAGAGGATGATGAAGACGAGCGCGGTATAGCAGCCGATGTGGGTGGCGAAGGCGATGAAGTAGCGCGGCGCGTCCCGGTCGAGGAAGACCTGGGGCCCGATGGAGTTGCCGACGGCCCAGAAGATGAAGTTGGTCGCGACGACGACGGACTTCTTGGTCGCGCCGGCCACGTTGCGCGACAGCATGGACAGGCCCAGCGTCTGCGCGGACCAGAAGGACAGCGTGATGTAGTACGAGATGAGCAGACCGACGTGCTGGGCCCGGGTCTCGCTCGGGAGCGCCATGAGGAGCGCCGTGCCGACAAAGGACGGCACGACAAAGGCCAGCATGGTCAGCAGGTTCTGCTGGAACTTCTTGACCAGCCAGACGGAGCCGAGCAGGATGACGATGATGTAGGCGCCCAGGACCATGGACAGGAGCTGCGTCTCCCAGGTCGTGTAGCCGAAGCTCTTGATGACGATGCCGCTGAACGAGCCCAGGCCGCTGGTCGGCAGGGTCGTGCAGAACTGGATGCCGGCGTAGCACCAGGTCTGCGGGTCCTTCAAGGCCTCGTAGACCTGGTACTTTTTGAACTCGCGGTTCTGGATGCCCGTCTGGTTGCTGCGCACCCGCTCGACCATGAGGCGCTTGTCCTGCTCGGAGAAGCACTTGGCGCGCATGGGCGAGTCGGGCATCCACCAGCCGATGAAGAGGCCGAAGACGACCGAGACGACGCCGTAGACGAGGAACAGCCACTGCCAGCTCTGCAGCGGCCCGGTGCTGATGAGCGAGAAGGCGTACGCGAGCAGGCCGCCGATGATCTGCTGCGCGCCGTTCATCATGTACCAGTACGTCACCCTCGACGCCTGCTCCTCCCGCTTGTACCAGATGGACGACAGCACGACAAAGGCCGGCTGGCAGGCCGATTCGAAGAGGCCGAGCAGGATGCGCACCGTGAGCAGACCCTTGAAGTTGTGGCAGGCCGCGTGGCAGGCCAGGATCGTGCCCCAGGCGACGACCGAGAAACTGAGATACTTGGCAACCGGAACTCGTGCGATGATGTAGTTCTGTTTGATTATAAGCGGTCAGCGACTTTTCCTTTCTCGAGTTCTTGAAGAATTTTGAGCTGTGCTCACCTGGGGATATTCAACGATCAAAATGGTGATGTAAATACAGGTGGTCAGCCACGAGTACTCCTGACCCACCAGATGGGCGTAGTCCTTGATGCCCATGATCGAGGCAAATGTCATGGTGCCCTTGTCCAGGGCCTGGAGCAGGTACACGGTGACCATGATGATGAGGACGCGCCTGTCGATCAGCTTGCGGAGGCGGGTGCTCTCCTCCTCAGACACCTCGATGGCCGTGTCGCCGGCGTACTGCGCGAGCTCCTTGTCGATCTTGGAGTAATTGGCGTGGCCGGGTTTCTCCAGCTCGTCGACGTGAGGCTCGGCGTCGTGTGACTTTCTGATCGAGTGGAACGACTTCCTGACCTCGCCAGCCGTGGGCAGGTGGACGGGCTGGACCACGTCCGGGTCTGGAGTCTCGAGCGTCGACATTGTGTGAATGTGTGCTCACTGAAGAGACCTCAAGGAAACAAGTTCTCTATCTTAGAAGCGACAGGCCAGTATGGTCGCCAGTATTGACACGAGAGACACAGAACAACAAAGACCCAGACCCGAGAGATGGGGAACGGTCCCATGATTTTATGTTCCCCGGGATATTTCCCCAACTGGCCTTGCTTTCCCCAGTTTCCAACCCAGATACCCCACGGGACAAATGGCACCATCCCATGCCATGGCACAAGCGAGGAGCAGCTCTTCGTTGCAATGCATGCGAGCAGTCCACCCCCGAAGCAGGGCTGCCCTTCCCGGGCCATCGGTACCATGGAGCCGTAGTTCGAGTTCTTGTTCTTCCTACGGGCCAATTACGCACGAGTTGGGGAGCGGCCCGGGGTAGAACCTTGGATGGTTACGGGTTAGCTGACCGCGCGTAATAACATGATTCAAATGCTATGGTCCGGGGTATAGGCATGACTCTGCACGAAGTAGTTTATATGTACAGACTACGACACAATAGGGGCCGGTGGGCTGGCACGAGTCCCCTTACACCCCATCTACTACGGAATAAAGGATGATGCTACCCAAAAGAAGAGCCCAGCATATTATGATGAACGACCACTTATTGGGACGAACCTAGGCTGTTAGTGAGCGAGGCTAGGGCTGTTGTCTTAGGATCAGGGGCGGGGATCAATAAACCGAGTGGGAATCTGGGGTCTGGGGAAACAACTAAGACGGTGAGGAGACCAACTCGGCTAACACCCCGCATCTCCAGAGAAACCCCAACATTGACCGTTCTGCATTTGGATTTGGAGCGGAGCCTTGGAATGAGGCAGAGGTGCGATGATTAACAAGAAGATGTTGGCAATGGCAATGGTAAGATGGAGCTCATGTACTTTGTACACATGATGATGGGCTAGGTTATAGATTCTGCCCCAATCCCAATATGGTACAACTCACCAGCTCAGAGGTGATCATAAACATCGTCTTCACCTCGAGACGGTGCCTCGCCTAGTCGACCGTCGGGAGAGGCCCGAAAAGCGCGGAGGATCGTATGGTGCAAGTCTCTACTATATCCCCACACGCCAAGGCCGCGCAAGGGATCATGGCCCGAAGGCCAATGAACAGGCGAGTCACAACCATTTCGGCCGGTTGATAGCCCGAATCCAGTATCGTGGAGAGCCCGCGAGTTTCTCCACCAAACAGATGCCGGCGTTGCCAGTGGAGTGTCGAAATGGCGGCTTTCCCTTTTATGTCGGCTGGGTTGCGCATCCCGTCGTACCATATGAGAATGGCTGCTGGCGTGAAAATACTTAGAAGAGCCTTGTCTATTTGTTCTGGTTGCGAGATCCTGCTGGTCTGCAAGCCACGTGAGAAGACGGTCGCTTGTGTTCCCAAAGTTCATCTATACACCCCTGCCTGGCTCATCCCAAGGCTTCTTGTCCAATCAATTGTGTCTCGCCCTATCACATCCAATCTGACCTATAGACATTGGTTCAGACTATACAAGTCAAGATGCCTGCCGAACTTCACGGCATCAAGGCCAGCGATGTCCACGCCAAGATCCAGCTGTTGATCGATGGCATGGTCAATATCAAGGACAAGTCGGGAGAGTTCCTGATGACCCTGGCCGACGGCCGCGTAATCGACACCAAGGGCTGGAACGACTGGGAATGGACACACGGGATCGGCCTCAACGGCCTCTGGGCCTACTACAACCTGACTGGCGACGACAAGTACCTCAAGATTATCGAGGACTGGTTCGCCAACCGCTTCGCCGCCGGCGGTACGACCAAGAACATCAACACCATGGCCGTCTTCCTCACGCTGGCCTACGTGTACGAGAAGACGGGGAACCGGACGTACCTGCCGTGGCTGGACAGCTGGGCCGAGTGGGCCATGCACGACCTCGAGCGGACGCGGTACGGCGGCATGCAGCACATCACCTACCTCGAGGTCAACGAGCAGCAGCTGTGGGACGACACGCTCATGATGACCGTGGTGCCGCTGGCCAAGATCGGCCAGCTGCTTGGCCGGCCGCACTACGTCGAGGAGGCCAAGCGCCAGTTCCTGCTGCACATCCGGTACCTGTTCGACACCCGGACCGGCCTCTTCTTCCACGGCTGGACGTTCAAGGACGGCGGGCACAACTTTGCCGGCGCCCGCTGGGCCCGCGGCAACTCGTGGATCACCATCGTGATCCCCGAGTTCCTGGAGCTGCTGGGCCTGGACCCGAACGATGCCTTCCACCGCACCCTGGTCGACACGCTCAGCGCGCAGGTCGAGGCCCTGGCGCCGCTGCAGGCCGACTCGGGCCTGTGGCGGACGGTGCTCGACCGGCCCGAGGCCGAGGGGTCGTACCAGGAGGCCAGCGCGGCGGCGGGCTTCGCGTTCGGCATCCTCAAGGGCCAGCGCAAGCGGTACCTCGGCAAGGAGTACGAGGCCGTGGCCATCAAGGCGGTCAGGGCCGTCCTGGACAACGTCGACGAGGCCGGCGAGCTGCTCCAGACGAGCTTCGGCACCGGCATGGGCCACGACCTGCAGCACTACTACGACATACCCGTCACCAGCATGCCGTACGGCCAGGCCATGGCCATTATCGCCCTGGTAGAGTTCCTGAGGGTGTTTTATTAGATATCATGGGATCATGGCTAATGAAAGTTACGACTCGGCGAATTATGAATAGACAACCATTGGCTTTAGCGCGTTTCTCAAAGCTATATACCTAGCCCTACTTACCTTGTATAAATGCAACGGACTTTGTTGGATTAAACAAAAAAGGAGCGGTACCTCTCTTTCTGAACGTGACCATACTCAGTAACTGGGGTTCTGGTGAATGGTCCTTCTCACTGCTCAATACTCTCGAGTTTCTACTCTTCCCGAATCCTGATAGGACCTCGAAACCAAAGTCTCGGTCATACAGCGGGGTCCGAGTCGAATTATACCCCATCTTCTATTTCGGCAATGCGGGGTTCAATAATGCCCACGGAGAATTTTCACATGCTCCATCGCAATTCTGCAGGTCGAATGGAAGACGATAGGACCGCGACTCTCACAATCAAATCTGGGTTGGTGTTTCACACCGATTTCTCAGGCCGGTTGGTGTAGTTGGTTATCACGTCAGTCTAACACACTGAAGGTCGCCGGATCGAGCCCGGCACTGGTCATAAGTGCATATTTTTTGATCTTCTTGACGTACGTATACATATCTGAGAATCATCAATCGTCGCGGGTGAGAGAGATGATATAGATGAACATTTTCGCTGTGTCAGTTATGACAACTTCGAAGTAATAAGGGTAGCGGAGGTGTGTTGGGAATGTCACCATGCGCAACAATATGTTAACTGAAAACATTCTGCGTTCCATACCAATCTGGGCACGTGTTTACTATAATAAAGAGCAGTGAATGAATGGTGGTTTCGTAGTGTACAATCTCTTATCTTGCCAGACCCCAAGAAAGTTTGGGTCTAAATTGGCCCCGGTAAATGTCTTCTTCTCTGTATTTCCTAGGAGTGAGAGCACGTGTGAAAAGGCCAACGTTATGGTATTCAGAATGGATAGGTAAGATCCTACCACAATCGCGGTAGCAGCACATGGAATTGCCGATAAAGAGGCACACCTAGTTCCACGTCTTTGGCCTTGATCACACTGGCTGACAATATTCCGTACTCTGTATTTGCGTACCAAAATGTTCACCCCGCGAGCCCTGGCGAAATTCAGTCTACACTAGATAGCGGCGCCCCAACTTTTTTCCCTGCATGCAAGCTTATCACGACAGGTCCTGGGGCGACGGTTTCTGATTGGCCAATGTCGACTGATAAGTTCTATCCTTGACAGCAATCAATCGAGCAAGCAGATCAACGGCGGTACAAACGAGCACGGCAGCCTTTGTCATTTGCATTTCTGACGACATTCTAGATGCAGCCTCTCAGTGGCCCTACGCACGTCCAGCTTGTTAACCTATTAAACAGCCCCGACTAGCCACTATCCGAGGTTCGAAGCCCGGCGCAGAAGGACAATCATTGGCTCATTCAATCTCCTAAACCATCGAAAATAAGACGGGCTGTCATCCTTATCAGTCGTGTACACACTTGAACGTTTTCCCGGTTGGCTTCTCTAGATAGGCACTACTACTACGTTATACCTGTACGCCGTCACTGCCCATTGCCGTAGGCATGTCTCAAAAAATCCGGGGAGCCCACCGATGCCGCTCAAGAGATATAATTCCCAGACATATCTGCCGTGCGGAATAAATGCAATGCATGCCGGTTTGATCGATCTGATCCACACAAGCCACCCGAAGATGAAGTGACTGTGAACTGCATGCACACATACAGAGAACAGGCCCAGGCTCACGTGTGGGGGGGTATGATGCCTCTGTCATCCCGCATGCAGAGAGCCGAACGTCGAAACTCTGAATGCCGGGGTCCAAGAAGAAGTTCCATATCGGACCAATAACGACCCCAGCCAACAGCTATGAAGCTCTGGGTTTCGACATCGGACCTCTCTCTAGTGCTACTGCACTCCCTCGAGATCTGCAAGGCCGACATGAGGGTTTGCGGGCTGGGTATAACATGTATATATTCTGCTTGTCTTCCCCGTGACTAGAGGAACTTACCTGCATTGCTTCTCCGGCTTTCATAATATCGCTGCTGCACGACTGTTCGCAAACACACCTTGGCATCTATTCGTTGCAAAGGATCGCGTCGCAGCCGGCTTTTCGACAACAATGGTCAACCCACCGCTGGAGCCCGGTGTGGGCTATGGCATCGTCCTCGGCCTGGGCTTTGCCTTTGCTCTGGGCATGGTAAGTCGCGCCCTTCACACGGACTAATGCCGCTCTCCTCAAAGACGAGCCGGCAAAAGCTATAGTCTAGTCAGCTAACAAGCATCGGCGCAGATTCTCGTGACGTTCGTCCTGAGGCGGTACAACTCGGAGCTGGTGACGTCGGAAATGTTCAACACAGCGGGCAGAACGGTAAAGAGCGGCCTGGTCGGCTCCGCCGTCGTGAGCTCGTGGACCTGGGCCGCCACCCTGCTGCAGTCGACGGGCGTGTGCTACAGATATGGCGTGTCCGGCCCTTTTTGGTACGCGTCCGGCGCGACCGTCCAGATCCTCCTGTTCGCGACGCTCGCGATCGAGCTCAAGAGACGAGCCCCGAACGCTCACACCTACCTCGAAGTGGTCAAGGCCCGTTATGGAACTTGGGTTCATGCCGTATTCATGGTGTAAGTGTCCATTGCGAAACCAGTCAAGTTTCCCTCGCCTTCTTGTATGCAACTTGTCAGAAGCGCAAATTCGTGCTTTTGCAGGAGAACGAATTGAGAGTGGAAGACGGCTACTGGGACAGGAGAACCTTGGAGCATGCTGACCATGAATATAGGTTCGCTCTTGCTACCAATATCCTGGTCAGCTTGATGTTGATCGTAGGCGGATCCGCAACAGTATCAGCCCTCACTGGTATGAGCCAAATCGCGGCCATATTCTTGCTGCCGGTCGGTGTTGTCGCATACACTCTGGTCGGAGGTCTGAAGGCAACGATTTTGACGGACTGGATCCACACCTTCATCTTGCTGATTATCATCATCATTTTTTCCCTCACGGCCTACGCGAGCTCCGAACAGCTGGGTTCGCCATCGGCCGTCTACGACTTGCTCGTTCAGGCTGCTTTCGATCACCCCGTCGAGGGCAACGCCGAGGGAAGCTATCTGACCATGCGATCTCAGGAGGGAGTCATCTTCTTCGTCATCAACATTGTCGGCAACTTTGGTACCGTCTTCCTGGACAACGGCTACTACAACAAGGCGATTGCTGCCTCGCCGATCCACGCTCTCCCGGGCTACATCATCGGAGGACTGAGTTGGTTCGCCATCCCTTGGCTGACTGCCACGACCATGGGCCTCTCGGCACTGGCTCTCGAGGGAACGCCGAGCTTCCCGACCTACCCGGATCGCATGACGGACGCCGATGTATCGGCCGGACTGGTTCTGCCATATGCAGCCGTGGCTCTCCTCGGCCGGGGAGGCGCCATCGCCACGCTCCTGATTGTTTTCATGGCCGTCACCAGTGCCACGTCGTCGGAGCTGATTGCCGTCTCCTCAATCTGCACCTATGATCTGTACAGGACGTACTTCAAGCCCGACGCCAAGGGAAAGACGCTGATCTGGATCTCGCACTGCATCGTCGTGACCTACGCTCTCTTCATTTCCGCCTTCTCGGTCGGCCTTTACTATGCCGGTATCTCGATGGGATACCTGTACTTGATGATGGGAGTCGTCATTGGTTCTGCTGTCCTCCCGGCGACCTTGACTCTGGTCTGGAACGGGCAGAACAAGTGGGCGGCGGGCCTGTCGCCCATCCTCGGTCTCGCTTTTGCCCTCATCGCTTGGCTCGTCACTGCCCGCAAGGAATGTGATTCCCTCGGTGTCACTTGCACGGGTTCCAACAACCCCATGCTTGCTGGAAACGGTATGTTCAACCCCCAGCTCTACGTACTTCAACACCTCAGCTAACGAATTTCTCTAGTCGTCGCACTCCTGTCGCCCGCCGTCATCATCCCGGTCCTCTCGTTTGCCTGCGGCCTGCAGCACTACGACTGGGTGTCGATGATGCAGATCCGCCGGGGCGACGACCACGACCTGGCGGCCACGGCCGGGGTGGACCTGGAGAACACGGTTGGGGGCCACGAGGAGACGACGGCCGAGTTCGAGGCGGAGCAGGCCAAGCTGACGCGGGCGTCGCGCATCTCCAAGTGGACGACGGTGGTGCTGACGCTGGCGTTCCTGGTGCTCTGGCCGTTCCCCATGTACGGGTCGTCGTACATCTTCTCGAAGCCCTTCTTCACCGGCTGGGTCACGGTCGGCATCATCTGGATCTTCTGCTCGCTGGGCGCCGTCGGCATCTTCCCCGTCTTCGAGGGCCGGCGCACGCTGGCGCGCACCTGCCGGGCCATCTACAACGACGTCACGGGCAAGAAGTCGGCCAGGACCATCCGCGCCGAGCAGACCGAGGAGATCGAGAGTGAGATCCGCGCGGAAAAGGAGAAGGAGGCAAAAGGTACCGAAACGCCTCCCAGCAAGGAGGTGCGCTCAGAGGAGCCGGGTGTCGTTGCGCAATAATAAGCTTAAGATTATTGCTCGTGCATCGATTGATCATTCTGGGGGCCTATTTATCTTGTCTTTTTGTGCCGATTACCCCGAATACCCCGAATTTGATCAATCGTTCCAGACTTGTTGAGTGCCGTACCTAGGTAGATACCCTTGTTTTAGATGATCAGCTATAAAAAGAAGCAGATTGCGGTGTTGAATTGGGATGGTCCAATAGTAAGTGAGGCGACGTACATAATGCAACAAGTACCAGATGAAAACAGGTGGAGTCTGGACCGCACACCCAAGCAGCAGCCCGCGCTGCAGACTGCTGGACAAAAAATGAGGATCGGTGACCCTGTGCGAGCAAACGAGTCAAAACCCCAAAAAAAATTTGGGTGAAACAATGTTGTACCTATGTCATTGCTCGTTGGTCCATGCTGCCGTACTATGTAATCTGTATGGCCCAACATACAGCGTTCATGCCGGTTATCCGGCCAAGCGTGTAAGGCTGCGGCAACCATGTGGGCCGCTTACATCGGGGGCGGAGGCGGACCTGGAACAGCACGGAGCTCACCTCAAAATCTGGCCCCAGACCTGAAAAGACTCCTTCTCGAAGCTCTTCTCAACCCTGGCTATTCTTTTCTCGACCGATTGAGGATATCTTGGCGATATTCTGTCTTGCAGATTCGTCGTCGGCACAACACACCATGGACGAGCACATCTCCTTCTCCGTGTCCCGGGTCGATACCTTCCCGGACCACGTCCCAAGGACGGACGAGAGGAGCGGTTTCACGTACCAAGACAAGTATGTGATCAACTATGACTACAACGAAATAGGTATGCAAACTGCCCAACCAAATCACGAATCAGAAAAAGAAGCTGACGTCTCCGGTAGACCGTGACACTGCCATTGACGAGGTGTCGTTTCTGTGTACCGACATCGCCTCAGCCGGCCTACAGTGCGAAGTCCGTGCCGGCGAGGACAAGAGCCTTCTCATCTTCGTGAGAGCACCAAAGGAGCTTCTGAGCTCGGAAATCCACAAGTCCAGGTATGTTCGCTTGTATCGCAGCTATTGCA